CTCAATTTCCGGGGCCTGGGGGTTTTCCTAAATCCCTTCAAAATTTCTTTGCTCCCCCAACGACATAAGTTTTAAAAAAAAACCTTTTTTGTCCCCTTTCACTCCATCAAAACATCTGCAGCTCACTGGAAGTAAAGCCCGTCGCACACAAAACCTTTTTTCCCCCCTCCCCCCAAACCTTTCCGGGGCGACCCCTACCCTGCCTCCTTTTCCACCAGACTGAACCTCTTAAAGTCATTTTTTTGGCTCCATTTTCTACATTCCAAACCCCCTCAAAAACCCTTCCTCACCCCTTTGGGACACAGTTTTGGAAATCCCGCCCCTTCCTAACTTCCAATCGAATTCCCTTGCATTATATTTCCCCCACACATTGCCCTCAGATATACATTCCACTCCTCCACCCTTCTCGCGCAACATTTCATCCCCCTGCTTCCCCCATAAAAGAGCGTTGGAAAAAACTATCTCTATACACCCCCTCTTTGCCCAAGGAAAAAGTTCTTGTCCCCCACAGACCCTAAGGCCGCTCCCCCTTTTTCCCCTAAATTCTATGTTCACCTCATTTTTCACGCCCCCACTCCCAAAATCTGAATCTTTACCCCCCCATCCCCCTCCCCTCCAATGATACCAAATCTTTATCACCTAATCTTTTTGTTTCCTCAAACCTTCTCTTTCCTGTATTCACTTTTAATTTCTTCTTTTTGCATCCCCTCCCAAATTCATCCCCAAACCCTCTGCAACTTCTTTTCAAAATTCCCCCAAAGGCACGTGTCTCAGAAAGAGCAAATGTAAAACTCCCACTTTGGTGATTCTTTTCTTTTAAATCTACGCCTCTTGCCAAGACCCTCGCTTTACTTCTCTTACAAAAACCCCTCTACAAAATATTAAACAACCACGGTGAATCACACATCCCTTGTTAAAGGCCTACTTTTACTGGGAAATAAATTCCCTCTTTCCTACTACTCTTACTTGAGCCTCACTTTCCCCGTAAAATCTTCACTCTTTCGAACCTACTCCCCAACCTACACCTGCAACATCGCCCCCATTGCCCCCTTTCCACCCCGTCAAGCCTTTTCCAAATCCCTAAAGCCAAAGACCTCTTTAGCCTTATCTAAATAGTTCACTTTGTTTCCTGTAAACCCTGGTCCACAACCCTTTTCCTTTCCCAAAGCCTCCTTTTCATTGCTATCCTTTTTTTAAACTTTCTTAATTCTTTCAATAAAAAAACTCTACCCAAAACTTTCCAGGATACTCAACGACTTTTTTCTTTCTTTCTTTTAAAACACCCGGTATCCCCCCCTGAGGCGGGGGGTGCAAAAGGAAAAAAAAAGAAATTTTTTCCTTTTACATTTGTAATATTACAGGGGAAGGGTTTCACCCCTTGCCCCGGGGTTTTAGTCGCCTCCACAAAACGATGGCTTACGGAGGAAAATTTTGTTCCACTTCCCCTGGGGGTAAAAGGAAAATAAAAAAAAACAAAAAACTATAAGAAAACAGAAGAAAAACCGAGGGGGGGTGTAAATGCTTTTACAGTATGTGTGGTGACCCCAAGGTAAGTAGAAAATAGCAAGACGTACCTGAAAACCCTTCGTTTATGAACAGAAAAAAGGGACACCAGCAAACCTACCCTCATGTAAAACAATTACAGGCTTTTGTTTACCTCATTTGGCGGATGGTAGTACCCCCCTGGGTGGTTGCTGTTTTCCCAAATACTACCCAAATCAAAGACTTACCCCCCTTAAATTTTTACCTCTTTTGTCCCCTTTGCCTTTTTAAAAGGGAATATGCATGCTTGCCAATCCCCAGGGATTACCCTCTCCATACATTTATTAAATAATAGCACCACCACTCCAAAACTTTCCCCACTTGCTTTTAACATTTCTTTTTTTATCCCTTCAAACCCATCAAGCCCTTTTCCCTTTCATTTTACCTTCTGCCTCCGAACTTCCCCCACATCACAAAGGTCTTCCTCACTCCTACAGATTATTCCCCTTCCCCTATACACGAATCAGTTTCCCTATTCCTCTCAACATTTTAAAAATTCCTCAAAATTTCCTTCCCTCTTTCCCCAAAACCCTAACTCTCCATTTAATAAAAATTCCTTTTTCCCATTTTTAACTGACAAATCCTTTGTTTTCGGCTTCCTTAACTTGTTAACTCACTCCAAAACTTTTTCTTTTTTGAAAAAAAAATTTGTTGTAACTCTCACCCATCTCTTTTTTGCCTCTTTTTTCATTTTTCCCCCACCCCTTACCCCTCTTTTTTCTCCTAACTCTTCCCTTCTTGCATCACTTTACTTTTTAAAATTCTCAAAGCTAACTTTTTTCCCTTAATCTCTCTTTACTCTTATTCCACAATCGTCCTTTCCCCCCCCCACCCACTTTCCTGTACCACAAAATTTTGCTGAACAAATAACACACATTTTTAAACCCCACCCCCTCCTCTTCAACCCCCTTTCCCCATGCTTCATTAGCCCCCCTTTTCCTCCAAAAGCGTTTATTTTAGCCACTGCTCCTCTTTTAGTTTATAAACCCTTTACCCCCTCTCTCTTCCCTGAAGCTTCTATTTCCTTGTATCCCATCTACCTTTTATTCAGTGTAGCACAACTAAAAAGATTTATTAAACTGTGGCCCCTCTATAAAAAATGTACTCCTGAAGTTACTCAACAGTTTTTATCTACCAAAAACATAACCAACAAAATACTGTCATTTCGCCCCCTCATAAACTTTTATACTTATTTTTCCTCTTTTTTTAAAAAAATGTATTTCCTAAAACTAAACCCCTTTCTAATAAGTTCAATCAAAGGGCTCCCTTATCATTTACCCTGGCACCCAAAACTTACCTCCCAACACCCTCTAAAAGTTTCTCCTATTTTTAGCATTCGGCCCCCCTACCACAATTACCTCTACTTTTTTAAAAAGGGTTTCCCTTTTACATTATTTAACATCTCCCAAAATCAATCTCTCTCTCCTCAAAATTCCCCCCTTCTCCGGGTGATACACACTTTTAAACCCCACTTTTCGCATCAAACCTTACTTTAATAATAATTTGAATTTACTCATTCATATCTCTTTTCTCCTTCCAAAAACTGTTTCCTTCAACTTTGGCTGCTACCCCTTCCTTAGCTCTAACTCTCTCAGATACTCCCAGATTTAATCCCATTTATTTCCCCCCTCCGAAACTCTCCTACCCTCTTCAGCTTTGTTTCGCTTAGGGCCAGGACATCCAACTTGTTTTCATTCATAACATCAGCAATCATCTGTTTCTTGTCATCCGCATACATCCAGCACATTCAAGCTTCCCGTTTTATAAAGTTTTCTTCTTCTCTTTTTTAGTAATGTCTACAGGAAAAGGGGGTTACTAGCCCATCGCTCCCGGCATTTTATTCGTCTCATACGACACGCATGGCTTACGGAGGAAAGATTCTTTTCCACTTCCCCATGGGCAATAGAAGAAAAAAAGAAGAAAATGAGCTATTTAGAAAAAGGAGAAAAACCTAGATGTATGTATATATATTATGCATGTGCGTGTCTGTGAAGTGTGACCAAAGTGTAAGTAGGAGTAGCAAGATATCCCTGTTATCTAGGGTGTTTATGAGACAGAAAAAGACACCAGCAATCCTACCATCATGCAAAACAGTTACAGGTTTCTGTTCCCCAGTCATCTGGCAGGACAGTAGTACTTCCCTGGGTGGTTGCTGTCTACCAACCTACTACCAGCAGTATTATTATTATCATTACTAATATGGAGTCTCGAAACATTAGACATTTACTGATTTTAATGTGTACCTGCATGCCAGCAGTGTGTAAGTTTATTTAGGTACAGGTATACATAAGTATAATTAAACGAGTATATTATAAAATTCCTAGGTAGTAGGTTGGTAGACAGCAACCGCCCAGGGAGGTATACCCTCCTGCCAAATGAGTGTAAACGAAAGCCTTTAAAGTTTACATGATGGTAGGATTGCTGGTGTCCTTTTTTCTGTCTCAGGAAATGCAAGATTTAGGTACGTCTTGCTACTTCTACTTACACTTAGGTACACAACAAAACATGTACAAGCTTAAAATTTAACAAATCCCTCGGTTTCTTCATTTTCCTTTAGTTCTTTCTTTTTATTTCCCCTTATCTCCATGGGAAGTTTGGGAAAAGAAATTTTTCCTCCTAAGCCATGCGTGTTGTAAGAGCGACTAAAATGCCGGGAGCAAGGGGCTAGTAACCTCTTTTCCGTATATATTTTCTAAAAGTAAAAGGAGAAACTTTCGTTTTCCTTTTGGGCCACCCCGCCTCGGTGGGATACGGCCGGTGTGTTGAAAGAAAGAAAGATATATAAAATATGAAATAACTTTTAAAAACACTTGAAATTTTGGAGCTTCCGGACATTATGGAGAGACATGGTGCTTACAGAGCTCACAGGGAATGTATACAAACTGGGTGGGGCGCAGTGACCGTATTAGTAAGTCCATAATTTGAAATGTCCATATTAGCGGAACGCCGTAAAGCGGGGCCCTACTGTATACATTCAAATTATACTGTAATACATCTATATTGAGCTGATTCATTTATTTGTAAGAGAGTACTCAATATACCATAGTTAACTGGTAACTCATTGTATATTATGGTATATACAATACCTTTAGTGCTCACAAGCCTGCATTACAGCTGGTAATCCCAACTTGAGCCTACCAGGGTGAATCTAAAGTTGCATTTTGCCTTCCAAATTTCACTATCAGTATCATTTCAAGACTAGATATGGTGAATAAGATTTGTTTCAGTGCATTTTTCTCATTAATGAACTTTAGAGCAATCTTTGAAAGTGACTTAGAATTCAGTTTTTTTAGCTGCCAGTTTTTATCGGCTTCTTCATGTATAATACTGAAATTGAACATAATGTATTCTTTCAGCATTTTATTTATTTAAATAGTTTTTAAGTATTCAACTGTATCTAGAATTAGTACAGTATCCTGCTAAAAGGAAAGACTATATGTACTTTTTTTTTATTGCAGTGCTGCCTCGGAAGAAAGAGAGAGCAAAATTTGACACATCTCATCCATCTACTGAAAGAAACTTCATTACTGCTGTACGTGCAATGTCTGAGTTTCTACTAAAGCCATCTGACTTGGAAAACTTACGAAAAACCAAGAGACGCTCGCCATTTGAAAATGAGCCTCCCATCACAGTATATTGGTGGAAGGATGTGGAAGCCAAGTTAGTTATTTTTATATAGTGTAGTTAAAGAATGTATGTTAAAGAATGCACATATTTAGCATTAAGGTAGTTTATTGCAAAATTTATGGAGTGGGATTGGCTTTCTTCCATGGACTGTTCAATACTGTAAATGGTTGACATATAAGAAAAATGCTGTCTAGTGGTTATGACTTTCTCTTACCTAGAAAGAATCTGTGGGAGAAGACTTTTGGATTTGTTGCTTTTTTTTTTTTTTTTTTTTTTTTAACAAGTCAACTGTCTCCCACCGAGGCAGGGTGACCCAAAAAGAAAGAAAATCCCCAAAAAGAAAATACAGTGGACCCCCACCTTACAATATTAATCCGTTCCTGAGAGCTCATCGTAAGCCAAAATTATTGTTAACCAAATTAATTTTTCCCATAAGAAATAATGGAAATCAAATTAATCCGTTCCTGACACCCCAAAGTATGAAAAAAAAAATTTTTACCACATAAAATATTAATTTTAATACACACGAACTGAAGAAGACATGCACAATTACTACTCTACTAAGAATAGAATACATGACACTTACCTTTATTGAAGATCTGGTGATGATTGATGGGATGGGAGGAGGGAAGAGTTTGGAAGTTGTTTAGAAGAGTATTACAACCCAGGAGTCCAAATGGCCTGTTGTCCTGGGTGTAAAGGGAGCAAAATAAACACAGCAGAAAAGTTTTGACATATTATCCTTCACCAATTTAGAACAGCAATTTTTTTTTTTTTTTTCAACAAGTCGGCCGTCTCCCACCGAGGCAGGGTGACCCAAAAAAGGAAGAAAATCCCCAAAAAGAAAATACTTTCATCATCATTCAACACTTTCACCACACTCACACATTATCACTGTTTTTGCAGAGGTGCGCAGAATACAACAGTTTAGAAGCATATACGTATAAAGATACACAACATATCCCTCCAAACTGCCAATATCAATATGTACACTATATACACTATGTACAGTGATAGGTATTAGTGCACTCCACGGTAAGCAAGGCAGAATAGAAGCCACAAGAGAGCAGACCGTGCTTCAACCAGCTCTAGAATGGGAATGACAAGGGCAGACAGGAGAGTGGTACCCACATAACCTCTGCGATTGCCAAAACCATCTTCTTATTGGCTGGAACCCGGTTACTAGTTGAACGACGGGGCCCCATCGTCAACTCTTAGTTACCTGGTTCGCTGGTTGGGGGAGATAGCCTGTAAATGAGAGTGTGTACATGCGCCGAATAAAGGTTACGTACTCTTTGCATGCCACAAAGAGGAATCCCCTTCCATTAGGACTTGAGGTAGCAAGTCCTTTTCCAGGGTTACAGTGGACCCTTGACCAACGATGGCATCGTATAACATTAAATCTGACTAGCGATACATTTTAACACAAAAATTTTGCCTCAACTAGCGCTAAAAAACTCAACCAATGCGATTCGTTCCGTTCGAGACGCGTCCACTTGTGGCCTGAGCGCATCTCACTTGTCCTGTAGGTGCCAGTGTTTACAAGCCAGCCAGCCACTGCGTTCCCATCCAAACATACAATCGGAACATTTCATATTATCACAGCGTTTTTAGTGATTGCACCTGCAAAATGAGTCACCAAGAGCCCCAAGAAAGCTTCTAGTGTAAACCCTACAGCAAAAAGGGTGAGAATTACTATGGATATGAAGAAAGAGATCATTGCTAAGTATGAAAGTGGAGTGCGTGTCTCCGAGCTGGCCAGGTTGTACACAAAACCCCAATCAACCATCGCTACTATTGTGGCTAAGAAAACGGCAATCAAGGAAGCTATTCTTGCCAAAGGTGCAACTATGTTTTCAAAACTGAGATCGCAAGTGATAGAAGATGTTGAGAGCTACTGCAAGCCATGTTGGCAACCTGTACACTGACAATGTTGTGAAACACTTTAGGAATGTCATAAAGGAACGGGAGGTACAGACCTCTATGGACAGATATGTTGTGCGACAGATGTCCAGTGACTCTCAAGCTGGCCCTAGTGGCATTAAAAGAAGAAGGGAAGTAACCCCAGAAAAGGACTTGACACCTCAAGTCCTAATGGAAATGGATTCTCCTTCTAAACACTAACACCATCCACACACTCCCCTCCTCTCATCCCATCAATCATCACCAGATCTTCAATAAAGGTAAGTGTCATGTAATTGTACATGTCTTCTTCAGCTTGTGTGTACTAAAATTAATATTTCATATAGTAAAATTTTTTTTTTTCAATACTTGGGGGTGTCAGGAACGGATTAATTTGATTTCCATTATTTCTTATGGGGAAAATTAACTCGACTAATGATAATTTCGACTAACGATGAGATCTCAGGAACGGATTAATATCATTGGTCGAGGGCCCACTGTACTTCCCTTCTTCTTTTAATGCCACTAAGACCAGCTTGAGAGTCACTGGACCTCTGTCGCACAACAAATCTGTCCATAGAGCTCTGTACCTCCTGTTCCTTTAAGACTTTCCTAAAATGGGCCATAACATTGTCATTGTACATTTTGCCAACACAGCTTGCAGTAGCTGTGTCAGGGTGTTTTCATCCATAAAGGTTTGGAGTTCAACCCACTTTGCATACATTTCCTTAATCTCTCTTTTCAATTCCATACTAATTCTTGCCCTTTTTACCACAGGGAAGGCACTAGAAGCTTTCTTGGGGTTCATGGTGACTTATTTTGCAGTTACAAGCACTTAAAACGCTGGGATAATTTGAAATGTACCGAATGTATGCGTAGATGCGATCGCACTGGCTGGCTTGTAAACACTGGCGCTGAGGCCACATGTGGGACGCGTCCCGGACGAATCACGTAAGGTGAGTTTTTTATCGTGAGACGAGGCAAAATTTTTGCGTTCAAATGCTTCGTATGGCAGATTAACGTAACGCGATGCGTTCGTACGGCGGGGGTCCACTGTACTTTCATCATGATTCAACACTTTCACCTCACTCATACATGATCACATATCCCTCCAAACTGCCAATATCTCAAACCTCTCCTTTAACCCTTTGACTGTTTCAGGCCCCTCTCTGAAACTGTCATTCTATGTCTCCAAATATTCGAAAAAAAAAATTATTTTTTCTTATGAAAATGTTAGGAATATTTTTCTGAGTGTTTTAAGCCTAAAAAATTTTTTTTGCCATCAGTACTTACTGAGATATGGAGCCGCAAAGCTTGCAGAAAGTGACGTGCGTACGGCAACAGCGGCGACTGCCGCCCACCCGGTATTCTTTTATTTACTCTAATTCAAAGGTTTCTTGCATTTTTCAATATTTTTCTGTTCCAGGTAACTTATGTGGCCTGTGAGACCAATGTAAGGTGCATTCTTCAAATATACACTCATTGTTTACAACCCAATAACAGAACAAACTTTATCACTATTAGTTTGTGTATACACTTTGTTTACACAAACAAACAATACAAAACAATGTTTATTACTATTGTCCCAATATGACTCAGTTTTTAGCAAGCCGCTAATACCAGACTGAGAGTTGAAGATCAAAATGAATTTTTATGAGAGAGCCACAAAATTTGGTTAACACAAGCCTATCCGATGGTATCCTGACGCCAAATGACTTCGAACAGGCGATAAATGACATGCCCATGCACTCTGCCCCAGGGCCAGACTCATAGAACTCCGTGTTCATCAAGAACTGCAAGAAGCCCCTATCAAGAGCCTTTTCCATCCTATGGAGAGGGAGCATGGACACGGGGGTCGTCCCACAGTTACCAAAAACAACAGACATAGCCCCACTCCACAAAGGGGGCAGTAAAGCAACAGCAAAGAACTACAGACCGATAGCACTAACATCCCATATCATAAAAATCTTTGAAAGGGTCCTAAAAAGCAAGATCACCACCCATCTAGAAACTCATCAGTTACACAACCCAGGGCAACATGGGTTTAGAACAGGTCGCTCCTGTCTGTCTCAACTATTGGATCACTACGACAAGGTCCTAAATGCACTAGAAGACAAAAAGAATGCAGATGTAATATATACAGACTTTGCAAAAGCCTTCGACAAGTGTGACCATGGCATAATAGCGCACAAAATGCGCGCTAAAGGAATAACAGGAAAAGTCGGTCGATGGATCTATAATTTCCTCACTAACAGAACACAGAGAGTAGTCGTCAACAGAGTAAAGTCCGAGGCAGCTACGGTGAAAAGCTCTGTTCCACAAGGCACAGTACTCGCTCCCATCTGTTCCTCATCCTCATATCCGACATAGACAAGGATGTCAGCCACAGCACCGTGTCTTCCTTTGCAGATGACACCCGAATCTGCATGACAGTGTCTTCCATTGCAGACACTGCAAGGCTCCAGGCGGACATCAACCAAATCTTTCAGTGGGCTGCAGAAAACAATATGAAGTTCAACGATGAGAAATTTCAATTACTCAGATATGGTAAACATGAGGAAATTAAATCTTCATCAGAGTACAAAACAAATTCTGGCCACAAAATAGAGCGAAACACCAACGTCAAAGACCTGGGAGTGATCATGTCGGAGGATCTCAGAGAACCTTCACGGCGCGCATAACGGAGATAAAACACCTCAATTACTGGGAGCGCTTGAGGTTCCTAAAACTGTATTCCCTGGAACGCAGGCGGGAGAGATACATGATTATATACACCTGGAAAATCCTAGAGGGACTAGTACCGAACTTGCACACGAAAATCACTCACTACGAAAGCAAAAGACTTGGCAGACGATGCAACATCCCCCCAATGAAAAGCAGGGGTGTCACTAGCATGTTAAGAGACCATACAATAAGTGTCAGGGGCTTGAGACTGTTCAACTGCCTCCCAGCATACATAAGGGGGATTACCAACAGACCCCTGGCAGTCTTCAAGCTGGCACTGGACAAGCACCTAAAGTCGGTTCCTGACCAGCCGGGCTGTGGCTCGTACGTTGGTTTGCGTGCAGCCAGCAGCAACAGCCTGGTTGATCAGATTCTGATCCACCAGGAGGCCTGGTCACAGACCGAGC